TAATCTTAATATAAATTATGGGGGCTCTGTTAGATATTAGTGGTTTAGTTTGAGCTCTTATGTAGAGAAAGACTTAAATATATTAGTTTATTTGTGTCTCACTTATTTTTAAATGGAGGAAATGAATTTAAGATTAGGGATATCAATTTGTCCCATTAACAAGAATCTCTGTGGAGATTCTCTGTTTGAGACCCCAAAGATAGAGAATTTTTCTCTCGCAGGGACAAGGATAGAGAACAAAGTCTCCCGAGGTGACATAAATATCCCCCACTTTGTGGAGTCCTGGATAAATGCAAATTGTAGTTATTTTTGTATATAGTTTTTATTGCACTTATCGACTTTTTATCGTTAATATCGTTGAATAATTCTCTGCTTTTTGTATAATTATGTATAAATTGTATTTAATCGAGTTTTTGTATATTTTTATACCGTTTGATAGTTTTCCATTCATTTTATAGGTATTAATGTGTATTTGGATCATGAGTAATAAAGTGTCGAAGATAAGGCTTAAAATGCGCGATTTTGAGCAACTCGTCAATGAATAACGCTCAAAATCAAAGAATAAGAAATCATCAATTTGGTTAATATTTAGCATTGTTAGATAGATAATTGAATAAGCTTTCGAACGCTTCGAACCGAGCGTAAATCGGAGTTACGGTTCTCAAGTTATGGCGAAAACAAAATGCTGATTTTTTTCTCTTGACAGTAGAGCGTGCTTAGAGGAATTTTGCCGCTTAGCGCGTTCCCCTGGACAAAATTGGGTTAAAAGGGCCAAAATATACATTTTTTAGGTTATGTTTTGGGGTATTTGTTCCCAACTCATCAAGCCTTCAATTTTTTGTATATGTTGTTTTTTATGTTTTTTAGTTTTGTATTTACTTTCTATACTTGTGCATATATGTGTTTTTCTTTGTTTTCACGTATTGTTGTGAATTGTCTCAGTTTCGTAACGTTTATTGTGTGGATGTTAGGATACTTCCTTTATGTTTGCGCGGTGTGACAATACTATGGCATGACGAGAGGAGGTTACTAGCCCACACAATAAAGGCGTTGAGCTTACAATGTAAAACAAGCATGTTTGGTTTGTATTTATTTATGTATGTGTTGACTTGTGTTTTAACAAGTTGAAATTGGACCCGTTTTAAATTCTCAAATTTTCACTTTTCAACTTGTTAATTCACTTTCACCCGTTAGTTTTGTCATGTCAATTTGTGTTTTTCCGCAAGCTTGTCGTGGTTAGCTTGTGGAAGTGTGTTTGTATGTTGTAAATATTATACATATGTTTGAGATTGTGTAGGTGAATATGGAGACTACACTGCTATATGTTGAATTGATTTTTGTTGTTCTGGTGTAGCGCGCTTAGTGCGCCCTGCTGTGTAAAGTTAGTGAATTCTTTTTAATTTTTTGCTTGGGTTTCCTTTTCCCCACTTTCACCTAAACTTTAAATAGTAAATAATATTCGTATAATTAATTCTTTTGTTGTTGTTTGAACTCAATTTTGGTTTGATAGCTTGAAGTCGCTTTTGGTGATTTTCCAAGTTTGAGTGTTTCAACTTGCGAATGCGTGCTAATGATTTTGTTAAAGTTTTGTACACGTTCGAGGTATGTGTTATCGCTTTCTATACTTTAGCATATTCATGATACTTAGACTTTATAAAAATTTTATGTCATTCATTCTTTTGTATACTTGTTCATTTGTGAATCACTTTAGTTCCTACCCTTTTTGTGAGGTAGCTTTTCATTATTCACATATATTGGAGACTACAACTCATGTTTTAACTTGATTTTATTATACTTAATCTTTTATTTGTGTTTATTATATGAAAGCTTGAACATGATCAAAGCATTTTTTTTTTCATTTTGAGCACAACTACCTTGGCCAAATAGTCAATTCACCCTGTGAGTGCGTGATCATTAGTAACCCATTTGGACTCTTTTTATCGATATCCAGGTTGTTTTTTCTAAATGTCTGTCTATGAGTGTTTGGTTCATTTTTGTATGGATATTGATTCTTTGTTTTCTTGAATCCTGAACTATGATTTTTAGTTGAATTTTTATCTTGCCTTAGAAAGTAAGGAGTATTCACATTATGATGATGATTGAATTCAAGTTGGGGAGAAGAATGTTTATGTGCTTATGTTGTGATTGTCATGAGGTTGTGATAGAAAAGAAGAAGAAAATGTGAAAAAGAAGTAAAAATAAAAAGAAAGAAAAAATGAAAAAAAAGGCTTTAAAAAAGAAAAAGAAAAAGAGTTTGGATAATAGTGTTAATAAGTGACGTGTGTTGGTTTGAAATTTGGAATGAAGAAGAAGTTTGATTGAAATTATTTTGCTTGAGTCTTTGTGAGTTAATCACTCTCTTAGTTTTAGGCATGTTTATGTCTCAATTAGCTTTAGGATTTATCCATTGTTTGTTAACCAAGCCACATTACAACCTTGAAAAGCCCTTGAGATTCTTGCATTTGTATTTTCAATATGAGTTTTTGGATGAATGCATAATTTAGTCTTTTGTTTGCAAGATTATGGATGAGTGAAAATACCTTATTTTGTGTGTTTTTCATCTACGGTGATTTTTTTTTGCTAGGTGTGATTCACTTGTGAACTAGTGTTATTTTAGAATGTTTGGCATATTCTTTGTATTTAGCATTCATTTTGTGTTTATATTATCGTTGTAGTTTAGTGGTAAGTATGTTTCGTCGTGTGTACCGTTTTTCATTTGAACCATTGCATTTGTTTTCCGTTTTCAAAACTTGTTGATTCATGATATTTTGGTTGAGCACTTTGGGTACTTTAAGTCGTTTGGTTTTGTTTGAGGACAAACAAGTTCAAGTTAGGGAGAGTTTGATAAGTGTAAATTGTAGTTATTTTTGTTGCACTTATTGACTTTTTGTTGTTAATATCGTTGAATAATTTCTCGCTTTTTGTATAATTATGTATAAATTGTATTTGATCGAGTTTTTGTGTATTTGTGTACCGTTTGATAGTTTTCCATTTATTTTATAGGTATTGATGTTGTAATATGGTGGGAGAACTGACTTTACTGGTTTTGCGTTTTATCACAATTGTCGCGGTTAGTAAGAGTCGCCACCGACTTTTCTTTTATCCAATAAAGGAAGGGGTGAAAAGAACAAGAAAGACCTTTCGAGAATTTTTCTGAGTAAGGGGGTAGGTTATGGAAATGGAAGGTGTTAGCACCATTTCCATCCGTAGTTATCTACGGGCTATTAGTTTCTAACTCACTTTGAAAATTCTTTTTTTGTGTAACTGTATTTTGAAAATATTTTGAAAAGATGCCTTAGTGCGGCGAACTTTATAATGTTTCTCGTATCGTTGAGAATATATACAAAGTGTTTTTGTCTTTGAAAATATTTAGAAAAAAGAAAGTGTATATGTGAGAAATTTGTTTTATGAGCAAGCAACTACAAGCTGTCTACCTACTTGAAAGATCTTGTTCTTTTCCTCTTTTCCTTTAGATAGTGTTATCCTACCATTAGTTGGTAGGTAGTTCTATCATTGGATGTTTTGAGGGACAAATGAGGGTCATTGTACAGTCATGAAGACAACTCGTAAGACACTTTAGCAATTACCCTAAGGTACCAAGATCATTTACCGAGGCAACATCGAAAGGGTCATTGAGGGACTATGATCTTGTAACCAAAGGGTCTTTGCTAAAATTTCTCATGTTCGAGATACATGACTGTTTTCCGAAGGCAACAAGTGGAGGTACCTTAGAGGTGTGCGTGTGCGAAGTGTGTTGTTTTTCAGTTATTTGTCTTGGATGTTAGGTTTTCTACTGTTTGCTTTTAAGTCTTATCATGCAATCCTATTAAGCATACATCTAGCAGTTAAATAAGTACGAAAAGATAAAAAATGTGGAAATTAAACTACGTTATTACATCGCTTTGGGATGGGGGGAATACAAACCAAAATGGGGGAAATAAAAATGTAAAGAAGTCCTATTTTAAACTATTACATCCCTTTGAGCAATTACAATTATTCATGAAAATAAATAATGCGAAATAAATAAATAACGCACGGAGAATGAAGAAGGGAAAAGATGTAAAACCTAAAAATAAACTAAGTAGAAAAATGTTTTTTGTTGTTTTTGTAAATATAATTGAATTATAAACCTAATTCTAATTGAATTTTAATTCATAAAATAAACTCAAATGATTAAACTAATTAATTTTATTGTAAAATTAAAGTTTAATTAATTTAATTCTTATTTGATTTTATGATTTTTTTATTTATTAAAAATAAAACTGATTAAAAAAGAAATATTAATTAAAACAAAATAAGGAAAATTGAAATGGACCTGCTGTAAAGAAAAAAGTTAGGGGGTGCAAAGTCAGAAAACACCTAAGCCCAGTATTTTAGGCCCAGGCGTTTGCAAAAGGAAATGGAGGGTGTGAAGATCTAAAGTCCCAAGCCCATTAGCAATAGGGCCCAGGCGCCTATTGACCTGCAAAACAAAGGTTTAGAAAAAAAAATGAAATTTTTCTCCCTGCCTTGATCGAACCCAGGACCTGGAAGGGGTATGCCTTAAGTGCGTCTGTGTGTGTTTCCACTGGGGTAGCGTATTTCATCCGTTAGTACAATGAATCAATGACATTATAAGATAAAACCGCTAGCTAATTTCAAGCCAGCAAATACACGCGTCCATCGTGGGCCCTGATTATTTGAATGGACGAATCATGTTATTTCTTTTAGCCATGCGAGCCTCGCCGGAGTCAGACCACCCCTTACGGTGGTCAACCCCTTCTTCTCCGGTGAGTTATTTTTGAAAACCTGCGCAAATGGAAGATTTAAGGTAAACCAGGAGGTCTACCCTACACAAAATCACGTCCTGAGTTCGAATCTGGGCTTAAAACAAGCAAACGGTTACTGCATCATATGATGCAAATATGAATTCAGATCGTGCCCTAACAATGGCATGATCTCATCCCTACGTCCAGACTTGCATATAACATGTTAGCTCTAATCCAGATACCACCAGTAGCATGAATGTATGCATAACATCGATTTAAATTACGTGATTAAAGAGTTTGAGATCAAGAAATTTTACCAAACCGGTACGATTGGATGTGGGAGTTCTGGACGTGGAAGGGCTTGATTATGGGCTTGATTCAATTCCTGGAAGCCTCAGGGATGTGATTTAATCACTTGTTTGGATTGATAGAGCCTGGAAATGTAGTTACAAAATTTGCAACTTTGAGAAAAAATTTAGAATTTGGTAGAACTTTCTTATACAATTATGTCGTGGTCTTTTGAGCTTGCATTGTTGTGCTTAAATAGAAGAATGGAAGGAAACAAATAAGTGTGGCAAGGAAACAACTCATTCATGGCCATGATACAAAAATCCAACACATTAAGAAGTTGCCATTTTTGAGTGATTCTTGCCCTTTTGAAATTGCAATGAACCTGGACCATTTATGTGCATCCTACATGAATTATTGGGCCCTTGAATGATCCAAATGAAGTCCATTTAAGCATTGACCCATTTACTTGATATTTAACTTGATTTCTTTTGTATTTAAATGAATAAAAATTCAAATAAATATAAATCAAAATCAAAATAATTCATGGATAGGTTTAGAGGCTCTTGGATATGTAATGAGTATGTTTGAACTCTAAAAAGTTAGGGAAAATACCCTACAATCACAAATTTGCTCAATTGAGGTTTCATGCATTTCTTGAAAATTGCCCAACTTGTACACCTCATAACTTACTCAATTTTAATCTTTTGAAAATGATATTTAACTTTTTGAAAATCTCAAAAATTTCCTCTATACTTTCTCTTTTGACCATTTTTGCATTTGGAGACATTATCTTGATGTAAGTTGCCTTGACAAAAAGTGTCTTTTGTTGACTTTTGAAAATGACCTATAATGTATTAGATCATATCTTCCAAATGAAGCATTTTTGAGACTTGAGAATAAAAGAAAAGTTGTAGAGAATTGAATTTTCTTCAAAATGGGTTTTGGTTGGGGAAAAGTTGATGAAGCATGTGAAAGTTATGTCTGTTCAATGTTCAGTTGACTTCTCCTAAGGAAACCCTAATTTGGCAATTCTTGACTTTTGATGATCTGAGGGATTTCCTTGAGGAATCATGATTAACCCTTTATCAAAGGATAAATATAACTTCAAAATGTTGATGTTGACCAAAAATCTTGAAGTTTGACCGTATGTTGACCACAATTGACTTTTTGACCAATATAGTTGATTTTCAATCATCTGAGCCATTGACTGAGCAAAATTGTGATGTGGGACTTGAAACTTGACATGAACATTATTTAGGACATTTAAATAACCATAGAAGTCACTTGAGACATTTGCAAACCAAATTTCCTTGAGAAACTCAAAACCCTAGTTGTAGGCTCTTGACTTAGGAGGAGTATCTTGATTACACTACGCCAAAAATGATTTTTTGTATCACCTAATTTAATAGCACTTTTAAAAAAAATGCTATTAAAATGGAAAAAACATATTTATAATAGCACTTTTTAATCGGGCGCTATTATATAATACAGACTATGTAATTTTGATAGCACTTTGTACCAGAACGCTATTATTAAACTTCTTTAAGATATCATTTTGTATAAAACGCTATTATTTGACTACCTATATAATAGCATTTATTAAAAAGCGCTATGTTATATATAATAATGAATTAATTAATTAATTGATAAAAAAAAAACAAAACACATTTTCAGAAAATTGGGTTTCCCGCATCCACTCACCGCCAAAAACAAAAACACTACCATTGATTCTCCCAAAAACATTATCTTCCTCTGCTTCATTCTTAGCCATTGATTCTCCCAACTGATTCACCGCCGTCAAATCTTCCTCTGCTTCCTTCGGTTTTCATTGATTCACTGCCGTTAGTCATTGATTTACCACCGTCATCCCTTCCTTCGGTTTTCACCCGGATCCATTCTTCAGCCATCGGATTCACCATCGATTCAGATTCAGATTCACTTCTCAATCAACCACACTTCTCCTCAGCTTCGCTTATCTTTATTATTTCCTTCCAGTCCCACCTTTTCATTTCGGTAAAGTTCTTTCCTTTTCTCCCTTTTACACCTTCTTCATTCTTTTTCCTTCCCTAAATTATATCTTCTACTTTTCATTTGGGATCTTATTACATTTTTGTTTTACTTAGTTTTTCTCCTCCTTTTACATTTTCAACAATTCACGTATACCCAATAACCCAATTTTGTTTTTTTGTTTTTTTTTTGTTGTTGACAGTTCATAAAGTTGCTTGCTTGCTGCACTTATAGTACTACAACTAGAAAGGGTCTAAACTCTAAATAATACTTTTTTTTTCCTTTTCTTACAAGTACTTTTAAGGGCATTTGGACCTGGAAGTGCTTTTAGATTTCTGGGTATTCTTTTAAATTATTAATTAGGATTTGGGGCCATCTTAAATTTGGATTCCACTAATTGGTGTTGTTTTTCACAGGAATTGGATATTGATAGCTAACTTGTGTTGAGCTTCATAAATATCTGTCTGGTTATTTGAATTGGGGTTTTATAAGAAGCTTTGAGTTGTGAAGATGGTGGAGATTGGAGAATTTTGAGTTTTTGCTTTTCTGAGAGTTAGTTCATTATAATTGTAAGCTCATCTCATGACGCGCAGTTGCTATGAGATACATGTAGAAGCAAGATGATTGAGCAATTCATCAATTTCGTGATTAGGCCGCCGAGGTATTACTAATACTATTAGTTTTTGTTTCATTGGTTGGTGGCTTGGTAGGTGTACTAACAAATTTATCTATAGCATTTAGCTCCCTTACATGTTTACATGTAGAAATGTCATATTCAATTTTAATGACCATGTCATCTTAGTGGTTGAGCATTAAGGGAAAAAAGCACTTGATCATGTTATTATTAGTTTTGCAAATTGAGTTATAGTTTTGGTGTGTATACTTTGCGACATTCATAGGGCGGACTATAACCCGGATCAGTATCTGTGGGAAAAGGAATTCTCCCTCGCTGGTAGGACGTACCAAAGGCAGGATTTGGAGGCAAGTATAGACTATTTATTTCATAGGTTATTGCAATTATTGTTGTCTATCTATATAAGTTACACCACGATTCCAGTTGTTTGTTTGCGTATATACTGCTAGATTATCTATTTTCTAATTCCACAACTCAAGAATGCCAGAGGCTATACCTTGAAGTGTAGTCATTATCTCCCTTCTCCGTTTCCTGAAGATACATCTCTTCCTTGTGTTGTATATTGCCATGGAAACAGGTATATGTCACATTTATGTTCACTGCTATTGATTCTAGTTATGATTGTAAATATTACTTTTCGAACATTAACTTATCAAAATGACATAGCTGTTCCCGTGTGATATGTGTTCAATGATGCAGTGGATGTAGGGCAGATGCGAATGAAGCTGCTGTAATTCTTCTTCCATCAAATATTACTGTTTTTACCCTTGACTTCTCAGGGTCGGGTTTATCTGATGGAGACTATGTTAGCCTTGGTTGGCATGAAGTAAGTTACGACTTCATGAATGCGTTCATTTGTTTAATTAGAACAAAATATTACTGTTTTTTACCTTTGTCTTCTCGAGGTCAAGCTTGTCTGGTGGAGACCATGTTAGCCTTGGTTGGCTTGAAGATTGTAATGTTGTCGAGCTGAATGTTAGTGTTACTATTTTATACGAAAGAAGCTTTTAGACTCTTTTTGACCATTCCTTTGTGTGGTAGAAAGATGATCTGAAGATTGTGGTGTCGCATTTGAGAAGCAACAAGCAAATATCCCGTATAGGTTTATGGGGACGATCAATGGGCGCAGTTACTAGGTACTACATCTTTCAATGAATTTTAATATTTTTTAAAACAATTTATGCTGTTTTGGTACTTGAATGTAATGGAGTATTCACTTTATTTTGATGTGGTGTAGCCTTCTTTACGGAGCTGAAGACCCTTCTATTGCTGGAATGGTATTGGATAGCGCCTTTTCAAACTTATATAATCTCATGATGGAGCTAGTGGATGTTTATAAAATCCGACTTCCAAAGTTCACTGTACTCCCTCTCCCTCCCTTTCTCTCTTTGTGTGTGTGGATGCCAACTCCCTTTGTTATGAATGCTCAATTGAAACAGTCGTGGTGTATAGGAAAAAGTGAGACTATATATGGTTGAAACTGCAAAAGACTTAAAAAATTGTTGCTTCATGGTTGTAACCGCATCTTAATATGCTGTTTATTTGTACTTGTAATCTGTAAACTTTTTTCATAAATTGTTGCTGGAAGCCTGGAACCTGTAAGAGGTTAAATTGTTCTAGGCTCTAGCTTCTAGGATTTGGTGTATCTGCAAGTCTTAACTTAGTAATTTCCTTTTTCTTAAGATGGAAAAGTAAAGTAGCAGGAAACCCTAGGATTGAAGACTAGAATTAATTTTGATCAAGATTTTGTTTTGGATCTAGGTTTTCTTGTTATAATTACAGTTCTTTTTATTATGAAATTGTTAAATATGAAAATTGGGGATTTAATAGTTATGCATCTATAGTAATGCCTAGTTTGCATGATTTTGTCCAGTACATTTAAGTCAGATATTTGACTGCATTTTCTCCCTGATTAGGTTAAAATGGATGTACAATACATGCGGCGGGTTATTGAGAAGAAGGCAAAGTTTGATATCATGAAACTGAACTGTGTTCTGGTAAGTATTAATTGTTTGTCTTTTTTATAGTAAAAAAATTATGAATGCAATTATGTAAACTTTCATTGATCATGTTTTGTTAAGCATTATTTTCTGGCTAAACGAATTTCTTTTAGAGACATCATTTCTTTTCGACTCCATTTTTATCGTAAATTAATGCTTTTAAAGCCTACAGGTTGCACCGAAGACATTCATTCCTGTTTTATTTGGACATGCAAGTGATGACAAATTCATTCAGCCACACCACTCCGATCTCATCTCTGAATCCTACGCGGTATTAATTTTACAATTATAAGCAGTTTGCATTTTCTCTCTCTTTGATAGCCAAAATATCTAACTTCTGTTTCTGAATTCGTAGGGTGATAAAAATATCATAAAATTTGATGGCGACCACAACTCTTCTCGGCCACAATTCTTTTATGATTCAGTTTCCATTTTCTTCTACAATGTCCTCCGTCCTCCTCAAGTTTCTATTGCTGAAAAGCTCGAGAAATATTATGATTTGGGGGATTTGAAACTCGGTTCCGGTGTGGATGAGGTATTTAGCGTTTCTACTCCGTTGTCTTGAAAAATATAAAAGACACTACAGAAACTAATTTGCTCTTTTTCTTTTTCTTTCCATGCTAGAGCGTATTATATGAGATTCTCTCTAGTCTACGGTATGCACCTACTGATGCTGCAAGTTCATCTTCTGCATTTCCAACAATATCTGAAACAAATTCAGTTACCGAACTTCTTTCGGAAGCAGCTCCACTGGCTGATGCAGTAGGTTGCCTTATCCCTCTGTCTCCATTATTTTCTTCATAAAACTTTGTTCTGTTTAGTTTATCCATTGCTTGTACTGCAGGAGCCTTTGTTTGAAGAAGATACGAGAGACAAAAATGATGAAGCCGCAAATGTGCAGGTCATCTTTATATAACCGTCTTTGAAATTAATAAATGGTCCGGGAATTATCCTTTACTTAACTTGAACAAAATACTATGAATGACTTTATAGGGTAAGCTAAATGGCCAGATTGAAGATTGTTGCTCATATACAAGCTCGACTAGAGAAAGTTGGGGAAGATGTTCTTCTTTAGGAGGCAGTGATCAAGAATCTTTTGCAGATTTAAGTGCTGATGATAAACACTCTCAGGTTTCTCTCTAGCAGCATAACTAAACTTTGTTTTTTCTTCAAAGCTATTTGTAGCAAAGTTATTGACCCTGAGAAGTTACCGACGTTACAAAAGGAAATTGTTGTCACATTATGTGAGCTTGAGATGTATTTTCCACCCTCATTTTTTGACATAATGGTTCATCTTACAGTCCATCTTATAATGGAAACACAATATTGTGGACCAGCTTATATGAGGTGGATGTACCCGATTGAGCGTTACATGAAGATAATAAAAGGGTACGTGAAGAATCGAAGTCGACCAGATGGTTGTATTGTTGAACGATATTTAGTTGAAGAAGCCATTGAGTTTTGTACTGAATACCTCTCTAATATTGAGCCCATAGGGATTCCAATGTCACGACACTCTGGAAAAACAACAGGGGAAGGGATTGGTGCAAGTAAACTAGTAACCATGTCAGACATCGAATTGGAGCAATCACACTTATATGTTCTACACAATGCTGATGAGGTTGAGCCATATGTTGAAAAGCACAAAGAAATACTTCAAAGTTTGAACCCTAATAAGAGTGAAAATTGGTTAACAAGAGAACACATATGACTGCAAAGTTTCAGGTAATACTTTTATCACTTGGATATGGATCCTTAAAGTTTTGCATGATTATAGTATTAGTGATAGTGTTGTGGGATGCATTTTTTATAATAAATGCAGAAAGTTAGTGATGAGAATCGAGAAAAAGCGTTAAATCCTCAACATCCATATTAAATGTTTGATTATTCTTTATATGTTGAATTAGTTTTTATTGTACAATACATAATCAATATTCCTTCTATGATACAGGAAAACAAGAAGCAATTATTTTGCCTAATTAGTGATTGTATCTATGAGTTCAACGCTTTTGGATCATGAAGGTGGTTACTACATGGGATTGTTTTGTTATCCTTTCTTATTTTTTTGGTGTTTTGTTTAGAGAATTTGATTGTATGTTTTTGGATTTGGATTGAAGTACTCATAGATGGGCATCTACAAATTTGGCTATACAAACGCCCTCTTAATATTCTATATGTTATGATATTTGGAAACAATGGGATTTGGTAATTTAAAATGTTATTTGGTATTTGATGGATCATAATATATATGCAATGAGTAACTTAAAGCATTATTTGTGTTGAATTGAATATAGTTATTTTATATTTACACCAAAAAAAATGATTGTGTAAGAAAAAATATTGTACTGTACTTATTAAAAATATTGTACCAAATATGTACCATTTATTAGCACTTTATTTGAAAGCGCTATCAAACATATGTTATATATTAGCGCTTTTTGTTTAGAGTGCTATAAAAAAACAAACAAAAAACATGCAAAATACTGACTTTGATAGCACTTTAATTAAAACGCTATTATAAATTGGTACTTTAATAGCGCTTTTAAAGTGCTATTAAATAAGAAATATTTACAATAGTGGCGCGGTTAATAGCACTTTTAAGCGCTATCAAAAACAAAAAAAAGCGCTATTAAATAGCTTATTTGGCGTAGTGTTAGTCAACCCTTGAGTGTCTTGAGTGTCTGAGAAGCCTTGAAAGAATGACTTTAAAAAATATTGTAGGGAAAATTTTGGGGTACAACAAATATGTATTTGGAGCATGAGCAATAAAGTGTCGAAGACACGGCTTCAAACATGCGATTTTGAGCAACTCGTCAACGAATAAAGCTCAAAATCAAAGAATAAGAAATCATCAATTTGGTTGATATTTATGCAATGTTAAATAGATAATTGAATAAGCTTTCCAACGCTTCGAATCGGACGTAAGTCAGAGTTATGGTTCTTAAGTTATGGCAAAAATAAAATGGTGATTTTTTTCTCATGACAGTAGAGCGCGCTAAGCGGGATTTTGACACTTAGCGCAGCCCCCTTGACATAATTGCGTTAAAATGGACAAAATATGCATTTTTTAGGTTATTCTTTGGGGTATTTGTTCCCAACTCATCAAGCCTTCATTTTTTGATAGATTAGCTTAGAAAACAACATTGGGGCCTTACTTATGGATGATTGGAGGTGGATTTCTCTTCGACCGATTGTGATAAACTGGAAGATTTATGATTTATCTCTTCTTCCCTCTTTGTATTTCCCTTTTGTTGGGTATTTTTTGTATATTTACTTTGATCATATGTATATTTGTTGATCATGGTGTTGTATAAAGCTTACTTTACAAATCAATCTTGATGTCTTCTTTGATATTTTTGCTTTATGTTTTTATATGAGTTGTTATAGACATATACCTCAGAAATCTTGATTAGGGATGAATATCTATTAGATTCTATATTTTAGAGATAGATTTAGAGCTAATATTCACTTTGGATGCTAAAGCTTAATGCCTCCGTGTTGTTGTAGCGTGCAAGACATTGCCGATAGAGTAATACGGTTGATCTCGCAACTTGGTGTTAGACATGACCTTCGTTGTGGGTACATCTCGTGGTGTCCGTGATGATTTTGACGAGTACAGGTTGAGTGCAACTGATCAATAGAATTAAGTTTGTGGCGAGTAATGTACATTCATACCAGATAAGTTGTCTATCCTTTATAGTTTTTGTTTACATTTATTTTTTGTTGATACATTTTCCATACAATCCATTCAACCCCCTAACTCATTAACGATAGATTTGTCGAACGGTATTTCAATTCACCAATCTCTGTGGACACGATACGATATAAATTATATCATCCGGTAAATTAATAATTTACTTTTTGCTTTCCGCTTTACCACAGTAACAGTCTCCGCTCCGCCTAGATTACCATAATAAACATTATTTATATATAATTTTAAATTTTTATGTAGGTTTATTTGTCGTTTCATATAATTTATCTTATAAGCAAATTTAAAATAAATATATTGTTAGTAAAAGAGTAAAATATAAATGATTATTTAAATTTTTTAAGTTCGAAATTTTTGTGGTTATGACACTCAATATTATATATTAAATATTGTTAAAACAATATATTTATCATAAAGAAATAATTTATAAATTTTCTTGTGGTTAGTTTTTGAAATTTTTACTATTAATTTGGTTTAAAATAATAAATAAAATTATGTTTATGGATGTATGAACCTTAGAATTCCGTGGGGATCTCTGAGAACTGAGATGGGGGATAAAATCCCCCGTGAGGAGACCCGAAACGCGGACGGAAAATATATCGAGGGCGGAGATTGAGATGAGAATGTATCATGCGCCTCAGCCCCGCCCCATTGACATCCCTATTTAGGATTGAGATAGAGAGAAAAAAGAAGGTAAAAAAATCAGCTTCAAAAGAGAGATAAGATGAGAGGAAATAATTTTTATTTTTTTGTTATCAGTTTGAATAAAACAACAATACCAAATTCGCTAACCGTTAGACCGAACTGATTTTTGGAGGGCGGATTCGCAACATCTGCATACGTTTTGACCGTTCGGATCCATAAAAAAAAGTATAAGCCGGAAGATCTCGACTTTCCACTAAAATTGGAGATTTGAATATTTTTCACTTCTAACTTTTTATTTGTAAACTAATTTAATTTTTGAGTTTGCTGTTACTAGCACTAACTTGTGAATCACTTTGAGATTATCTTATACTCTTATTTGATTACATTTGAACTATTTCTTTAATATTATGTATGTTTTGAGGTATTTTACTCTCACATTAAAAAAATTTCATTTAAAATATCAGTGTTTTCTTGTATCTTCATTTATTCGATTTATTGTCATATATTTATTATTAATCTTATATATTTTTACAAGTTTGATAAATTTTATTTCCACTACATATTAGTTAGTTTATTATCGTAAGTTAATTTTGTATTACTAATGTGATGATTATATTTTTAATATCTACGATTTAGAAGTTAAAAAAAAAAACATTCACTCAAACAAATACAAGTCATGATGACAATTTCATACCACATATTAAACAATATCTGGTTTAGGCCACATTAATCAATGACACAAATCACACTCAAACAAACTAAAAATTGAATACAACATGTGCTTCAATATGACATGTAATCATAAAGTACAAATGAAACATCCTCATATAACATACACAAATTTTAACACACATTTGTAGTACATAAATTTCATGAACTTTTTAGATACTTATGGTTCAGGCACACCTGGAACAGTAGGCAACTGTGGCTTAGGAATCTGAGGAATTTCAGGAATCTTGGGAACACTAGGGATTGGGACACCTAAGTTTGGAATTGCTGGCAATTGTGGTTCTGTTGGTAATGTAGGTATAGTAGGTACTGTTGGTAGAGTAGGTATTGGTAGATTAGGTACCACCGGTAGTGGTGGCAAATCAACTTTGGAAACTTGATGTATTTTTAAAAGGTTTCGTTTTCCTTCAACATTTGTCATTGATGAAAATGTTATAAGTAGAAGAAGTGGTATCATGAATAACAAAACATTGATGGAAGCCATTTTTTTGAAACTAGAAAGCTTAGTATTATATGTTTATGTGATGATAGTTTGGTGTGTTTGAGGTTGTGGTTTATGTGTACTTTTATAGACAAAATTTGTGTATGTAATGTAATTAGTTTAATCTCTTGCATTATTGTTCAGTTTAATGGCTTCAATGAACATTAAGTAATCAACAATGACAGTAGGTAGCTAATAAGCCAATAAAGATAAGAATTGGTTGGCTCTTGTTTCTATTTTAGATGTTTGAGAACATGTAATATTTTGTCATATTAGAAGCTCGAGATAACATAATAAAAGACCATATCTAAATAAACCATAACAACAAGGTAAGATGAGTTGTCATGTTATGGAAAAATTCACTGTGTGGCCTGTGTTCAAGTTACATTATCATGACTCAAGATACACATTTTAAACTCATATAGCTACATATCTTAGCCAGATATATTCGCTGTGTGAATTATTTTTCATTTTAAAATTAATGAAAAGATTTGCTATAATAAGGAATTTTATTTTTATTTTCAAGTCAATATTTTACCATTATCCAGAGAGAATTGAACTTGGTCATTTAAAATTACAAAGTCAAACTCTTATCAGTGAAATGATATATCATCACATACTTTCCTGCATGTGATTATGATTCATAAATATGAAATCTTAATAGAGTTATTTGTGAGAGCTATATAGAATAAAAACTTTAAACAGTACTAGTTAATAGTTAAGTAATAGAACAAAATACTATATTTAAAAGCATGCAACTCTAACTTAGGAATTTCCAATCCTAAGAAAGTTTTGGTATTGCAGGCTATTCTGGATTTGTCAGTCGTTGTAATGTTAGAGGCAGATAGATCATCCTTTCATAAGTTTGGCATCTCAGGTAACAGCGACATTTCAAGTTTAGATATTTCTGGTACTTTTTGGCTATGATAATTTTATAACTTCCTGCAGGCTGCATGCATGCTTTATATCCATATTAGAGATAAATATAGATTACTCTTCTATTAGGCCTATATATATAGATTGTTTAGTTAGTTCAGCTTTGCTGAGCTGGCATTTCTGTTAGGCCTATATATGGGTCTGTTGTAACGATTCTAAGTGAAATGAAGTGTGATTCAATTCTGTTACAGTTTAACTGCTTTCTCTTCTCTTAACATGGTATCTAGAGCTATTTTCTTGATCTAGGGCTTCCATGGCATCTCCTTTCAATTCTGAGGGAAGCTTTCCTTCCTCTCATGTCAAACTGTCACATCTCATCTCGGTGAAGCTTGATGAGAAGAACTTCAAACAGTGGAAACAACAAATTGAAGGCATTATCAGAGGACACAAGCTTCAGCAATTCGTCACGACACCGCTTGTACCTCCGCGCCTCCTCTCCGGCACCGATCCTGTTACCGGCGGCGCCAATCCAGCGTTTCTCGATTGGGAACAGCAGGACGCCCTAATCTGCACCTGGCTCCTCAGCACGATCTCCGATTCGCTGCTTCCTAAACTGGTGGATTGCACCTATTCGTGGCAAGTATGGACTGAGGTTCATCGTCACTTCACCACTCTTCTTGCTACGAAGGCGAGACAACTTCGATCTGAGCTACGCTACTTGACCAAAGGTTCTCGCACCATCACTGAGTTTCTTGTTCGTGTTCGTGAAATCAGCGAAGCTCTGGTTTCAATCGGTGATCCTGTTCCCTTTCGAAACCTAATTGAAATAGTGCTTGATGCACTCCCTGAAGAATACGATTCAATTGTCGCCGCGATCAACAGCAAAGAAGATATGTGTTCGTTGGATGAGCTTGAGTCGAGTCTTCTTGCTCATGAATCGCGCCTTGAGAAGAATCGTAAGTCTGCCCTAACTGAATCTGCTACAGTGAATCTAACTCAATCATCACCAGCACCGTCACAGTCCACTACAGATGCTTCTGGTGTGGATTCTAGTTCTGAATTTCCTACTGGTACCAGTCATATTACAGCAAACGCTGAGAATCAAGGATACGGAACTCGTGGTGGACGTAATTGGCGTGGTGGAGGTCGCTCCGGTCGTGGTGGTGGCCGATTTGGGAGAGTTTCATGTCAAATTTGCCGCAAATCTGGTCACGATGCATCTGTCTGCTACCACAGGTATTCCTATCCTGGAACTCCCTCATTCAATGCTCCCAGAGCTCCATTCAATCCTTATGCAGTGCCACCTCGTGCTCCTACCTATAATGCGTATGGTTATGCTCCTCCCCGTGCTTCAGCACCACCAAGAGCACCTGTTCCTCAAGCCTTTATTGCAGGATCTGATCCTCATTTCAGCAACCAATGGTGGTACCCTGACTCTGGCGCATCTCACCATGTGACACCTGATGCTTCGAATTTGTCTGATGCTTCATCTCTGAATGGAACTGAACAAGTGTACATGGGTAATGGCCAAGGTTTGTTAATTAATTCTGTAGGTTCTATGACTTTTCCCTCACAAACACAGCCTAATTCTTCTCTAATTCTCACTAAACTTCTGCTTGTACCTCATATCACTAAGAATCTCATCAGTGTCAGCAAGTTTGCTCAGGATAATCGTGTTTTCTTTGAATTCCATCCTCAGTTTTGTCTTGTCAAATCGCAGGATTCTTTTGAGATTCTTCTTCATGGCACTGTGGGAGCTGATGGTCTCTACAGATTTGCTAATCCTGCTATGTCCAAGCTTCAGCCTAATAGAAATAGCATTTGTAATAAGCCTAGTCCATCTTGTCTAAGTACTCTATCTGCAGCAAAATCTATTGAACATTGTAATGCTGATCTTTGTAATACTCCTTCCACTATGAATAAAAGTATTTCAAATTTTACTAAGCCATATTCTGTGTCTACTACTAATCCTCCAGTCAATATAACTATCTCAGATTCTAAATATCATCTATGGCATTCAAGACTTGGCCATCCCCATCACCATGCCCTCTCTGAAGTACTCAAACTGTGCAATATTCCTCTCCCTCACAAACCACCAAATGCTCTATGTGCTGCCTGCTGTCAAGGCAAATCACACAGACTTCCTTCCTCTTTATCAACTACCATTTATCACCATCCCTTTGAGTTAGTTGTCTGTGACTTATGGGGGCCAGCTCCTGTGTCATCTTCAGGTGGTTATTCCTATTTCCTAACCTGTGTGGATGCATTCTCTAGATTTGTTTGGGTCTTTCCACTCAAACTAAAATCTCACACCCTATCCCAATTCATTCAATTTAAAACCATGGTAGAACTTCAGTTTAATTGCAAAATTAAAACTGTCCAAAGTGATGGAGGTGGTGAGTTCAAACCTTTCACCAAGTACCTCACCAACTTAGGTATTGTGCATAGATTTACCTGTCCTTACACACACCATCAAAATGGCATAGTGGAAAGGAAACATCGTCACATTGTTGAAACCGGTTTAGCTCTTTTAGCACACTCCAAACTCCCAATGCGTTATTGGGATCATGCCTTTGTCACTGCAGCCTTTCTTATCAATAGACTGCCTAGCACCTCTCTTAACAATTTGTCTCCTTATACTCTTCTAATGCACAAATCCCCTGACTATTCTTGTCTTCGTGTATTTGGATGTGCTTGCTTTCCCTTTCTTAGGCCATATAACTCACACAAACTGGATTTTCGTTCTCAAGAGTGTGTGTTTCTAGGCTATTCCTCAAGTCACAAAGGTTACAAATGTTTGGCTGCCAATGGCACTATCTACATCTCCAAGGATGTCCTTTTTAATGAGGGTAGATTCCCCTATCTAGAACTGTTTTTCCCATCCCAGTCATCTACCTCTGCTCCCTCATCTCACTCATGGTATACTTCTGCCATGCCACCTATTCTGCCTCCCATCCAAGCTACCCCTTTACATCAAGTTCCTCCTGCTTCACCCACTATGAATCAGCCCCTCCATACTCCTATTTCTTCCCCTGTAACCCAAGGTTCTCCTGTGCAATCTAGTTCTGTCCTAGGATCAGCAGCTTCAGATGCTATCTCCAACAATAGTTTGGCATCTCCTCAGTCCTCTCAATCTGCTATGGCTGACATAGCTGAAAACAGCACCATTTCTCCTTTCTCTCAGCCATCTTCTGCCTCACCAATTGGTTCCAGCTCTCCTCATGCTCCTATGTCTCATCCAATTCATTCCCTTAATGTTCATCCTATGCAAACCCGTGCTAAATCTGGGATTGTGCAACCCAAACGTCACCCCACCCTTCTCTTAACCCACATGGAACCTACAACAGTTAAACAAGCTTTGGCTTCCCCTCACTGGCTTCAGGCCATGAAGGATGAATTTCAGGCACTCTTGAAAAATCAGACGTGGAACTTGGTGACTCCTCCTATTTCAGCTAAACCTATTGGCTGTAAGTGGGTTTTTCGTGTTAAGGAACATCCTGATGGCTCCAGTCACAGATATAAGGCTCGCCTGGTAGCCAAAGGCTTCCATCAAAGGGCTGGCAGTGACTTTACTGAGACATTTTCTCCGGTTGTCAAACCGGTTACTGTTAGAACTGTGCTAACTCTGGCTGTTTCAAACAGGTGGTCTATTAGGCAAATTGACATCAACAATGCCTTTCTAAATGGCATTCTTGAAGAAGAAGTCTACATGGTGCAGCCACCTGGCTTTGAAGCTGATGACAGGTCCCTTGTCTGCAAGCTTAACAAAGCTTTATATGGGCTAAAGCAGGCCCCCAGGGCCTGGTTTGATAGGCTGAAAGGTTTTCTCCTCAAGCTTGGGCTGAAGGCAAGCAAGTGTGATCCTAGTCTATTTTTTCTTCACAGTGACAGTCTAACCATCTTGATTTTAGTGTATGTGGATGACATAATAATCACAGGAAATTCTCCCTCTTATATTTCTAATCTTATCAAAACTCCCAACACCACATTTTCTCTTAAAGACTTGGGGCAACTGGACTATTTCTTAGGGATTCAAGTGAATCATCTTCCCAATGGAGCCTTACTTCTCTCTCAGTCCAAGTACATCACTGATTTGCTTGCTAGAGTAAACATGTCCACTGCTAACTCTATGCCCACCCCTATGGTTTCAAGCAACAAACTCTCTAAATGTGGTTCAGAGTCTGTTGCTGATCCCACTCTTTTCAGATCTGTAGTTGGAGCCCTACAGTATGCAACATTAACCAGACCTGAACTCTCTTTTTCTGTCAATAAAGTCTGCCAATTCCTTTCCAATCCGTTAGAGGAGCATTGGAAGGCTGTCAAGAGGATACTTCGGTATCTTAGTGGAACAGTTCATCATGGTTTACTCATTCAGCCTGCCTCCATGTAGCAGCCTCTGTCTCTTTTAGGGTTCTGTGATGCTGACTGGGCAGCAGACCCTGATGATAGAAGATCCACTTCAGGTGCCTGTGTGTTTTTAGGTCCTAATCTCATATCCTGGTGGTCAAAGAAGCAGCAACTTGTGGCAAGGTCTAGTGCTGAAGCCGAGTATAGAAGTATGGCTCAATTAGCTGCTGAACTGATTTGGATTCAATCTCTCTTAACTGAACTTCACTGTCAATTTCAGATTCCTAGAATTCTCTGTGACAACTTAAGTACAGTCACTTTGGCTCATAATCCTATTCTTCACAATAGGACAAAGCACATGGAGCTTGATATTTTCTTTGTTAGAGAAAAAGTCCTCAACAAAAGCTTGACAGTTGCTCATGTTCCAGCTCAAGATCAATGGGCAGATGCCCTTACTAAGCCACTTTCTGCTAATAAGTTTCTCCCTCTAAGGGACAAACTGAGAGTTTACAACACAAAGGAACTTTTGAAGGCACCCTTGGTTTCTAAGGGGGACTATTAGAGATAAATATAGATTACTCTTCTATTAGGCCTATATATATAGATTGTTTAGTTAGTTCAGCTTTGCTGAGCTGGCATTTCTGTTAGGCCTATATATGGGTCTGTTGTAACGATTCTAAGTGAAATGAAGTGTGATTCAATTCTGTTACAGTTTAACTGCTTTCTCTTCTCTTAACACATAGACTTGAGATTTGAAAAATTGCCAATGTGTGGTGATGATCAATACGGTTTTAAACGCTATTCCAATTTATACTTTATCCTTCTATAAAGTGCTGTCAAAGGTTATCCAAGAGTTGCGTCGTATTCAACTATAGAAACTACTTTGACAGATTACTGGGGCGAGTTTGAGGACCAAGTCCAGCGAGTCTGTTTGCTAGCTTCAGGTAGAGATAATTATGTGTGGTCGACTGAGTCTGAAGGTGTGTTCAAGGTGAGTTCTTGTTTCAATCGCTATAGTGCCATCTCTGTTCCTATGGTCGATGCGGAAGTTCTGAAAGCGCTTAATTACATTTGGGAGTTGAAAGTTCCTTTCCCTCTTTTAACATAATCTTTTATAATTTTGAGTCATATATGTCTAAGTTTCATGTTATAGATTTTTCCACGATGCATTGTGCCAAATTTCAACATTTACAAATCGACCATGATATTTAGTAAGAATGTGGATGCTGAATCTAAAGGAAAATTCCTCTCTTGGATGCCCATCAAAAATGCAAACAGAATTTGAAGCTATTTTGGCCTCCCAACCCAGATTAGAAGATCTAAAAGACAAGAATTTAACTTGATTTTGGATAGAGTGAGGAAAAACTGAATGGGTGGAAAGAGAAGAAATCATCTTATGCAGGAAAGGACATCCTTATCAAGGTAGTGGCTCAAGCCATCCCTAACTACGTTATGAGTGTGTCCAAGATCCCGATCATTGATGCAATCATCCAGAACTATTGATGGGGAGCTAAGACAGAGAAGAGAAATATCAATGGGGCAAGTTGGAACCACCTATGTCTACTCAAAGCTAAGGGTGGTTTGGGATTCAGAAAAATGAGCATATTCAAAAAGAGAAGAGAAATATCAATTGGTGCTTGACCTCGAGTAAAATTGGTTAACCAATTGGGCTCTAAAAGAGAACATTATCAAAACCCTAAGAAGAACTTTAAAATTCTACACTAGAGAAGAGAAAAACTAAACTAATAAAAATAAACCTCATTGATTTTTTTGATTGATTTCTAAATAACACATTACATCCGAATATATAGAATTCTAAAAATATCAGTCATCTATGTGGCACGTGGCACAATCTTAAAGACTAAGAAATTTCTAGAATATAATACTAATATGTTAAAATTGTTAATTAAAATATCTAACCAATTAAATATAAATAACTCTCTATCACTCTCCCCTCCCTTCCCCTCCAAACCCCCAAGCCACTACAAGAAAAAACGAAATTAGTCAGGAGATAATCCCCTCACAAATGGCAAACCCCCCCCCCCTACAAATACAAAAATTGTGAGGGGATTGTTGCCCTAACAAAACAGGGGGTCACAAATTGGTTTGCGAGGGAATTTCCACGTCACCTTTTTGCTTGGGGCTAACCCCCTCGCAAAATGCAATCAAAATTTTCCAACCTACAACATGCAGTCGTAGGCGCAAACTAGGGGTTCAGCTACTGCAGTGCGTCAGAAAATTTACTTGAGGTTAAGCCCCTCTAAAATGCAAGCGTTTTCCATTGGCTAGGGTTAAGCCCCTTATAAAATGTATGCGTTTGCATTTTCCTTGAAGTTTAACCTCGGCAAATTGTAAAAATATTTACAATATTATGAAAAAATATACTGGCATTAATAGAATATAAAAGTTCAAACATAATTAAAACACAATTAATAGAATAAATATAATTATATAATTAAAATTCAATTAAGCATAATAAAAATTAAAATAAAACTCCATACAAATTACAATAAAGTTAAAATTAAGTTCAAAATAGTTAACATAAACTCCTCCATGGAAACTAAAATAAACTTCAAATTTTCAAATTCATCCTTTCAAGAAATTTACTGTGAAGCCTGGACCCGGCCAGATATCAGTTCAACTTTATCCTTTCAAGAAATTTACTGTGAAGCCTGGACCTGGCCAGATATCAGTTCAACTTCATTCTTTCAAGCAAGTTACTGTGAAGCCTGGACCCGACCAGATATCGGTTCAACTTCATCCTTTCAAGCAAGTTACTGTGAAGCCTGGACCCGACCAGATATCAGTTCAACTTCATCCTTTCAAGCAAGTTACTGTGAAGCCTGGACCCGACCATATATCAGTTCAACTTCATCCTTTTAAGCAAGTTACTGTGAAGCCTAGACTCGACCAGATATGAGTTCAACTTCATCCTTTCAAGAAAGTTACTGTGAATCCTGGACCCGACTAGATATCAGTTCAATTTCATCCTTTCAAGCAAGTTACTGTGAAGTCTGGACTCGACCAGATATCAGTTCAACTTCATCCTTTCAAGCAAATTACTGTGAAGTATGGACACGACCAGATATCAGTTCAACTTCATTTGTTCAAGCAAGTTACTGTGAAGCCTGGACCCGACCAGATATCAGTTCAACTTCATCCTTTCAAGTAAGTTATTGCAAAGCCTGGAGCTCGACCAGATAACGATTAACTTCATCCACCTTAGAAATTTTCTTTGAAGCCTGAAATCCGACCAGAAAACAACCTAACTTCACTCTCCCAAGTAATTTCCTGCGAAGCCTGGAATCCGACCAGATAACAGTTAATTTAATCTTCCTCAGTAAGTTACTGTAAAGCCTGAAATACGACCAGATAACAGTCAACTTCATTATCCTCAACAATTTGCTGCCAAGCCTAGATTTCGACCAGATAACAGCTAACTTTCAATTCTCTCCAGTCAAGAATAACTCCCCGGTAGAGCAACGAGTAGCTAAGACTCCTAAAATCTTTTCCCCAAGAAGAGATTAACACTCTCAACAGAGTCTTCTTAAACAAGCCAATATTCCCCAGCAAACTTTCTCCTCAAACAACAGAACAGGAATTTCCAGCAGAAATATTCTAAACAAAGTTGAAGATACATCTATTCTCCAACAACAGTTAGGGATTCAACCTCCCAAGATTCCCCAGCATGTTGTCAGGGATTATTTTTCTAGACAAAGACACACTGCAATAAACGCATCACATTCATAAACCATGACGCATACGTAACAAATGCATACATCATAATCTCATTTATTTTGAGAACATCATTATGCCATGCATACATCTGCATGCAACTAATCCTCTTCCTTGCAGAAAAAAAAAATCAATAATCAAATGAAGACCTCTTCTAGTTATATCTATCTCTTCCAATTTAAAAACAGACAAAAGACATCTATTGCATCAGTATAAATCAACCAAAATATTTATCCCGATACCTCCCCAGTCACTCTAGATGGCATCCTTAAGCTCATCTCTGACAAATCTCTGTCATCTCCTCCAAATGGAATTTGTAAGCTCATTCCCTACATCATCAACTATCAGTGCTATTTCGTGCGAGTGCAAATTTCTGGGCACTTAAGTGTTCAATCATCTTCCACCTTCAAGTCACGAATGGCGGACTCGTCAATCTAACTCTTCAGGTTTAAGAAGATTGAACATGGGCAGCTGTTGTACCCCAAAATTTTTCTTCTCATTTCTCAAAGGATCATCCTGGACCCTCATGATTGCTTCTGTCAATTTTCAAGTCTCAGATTACAATTTTTCAAGAAAGTCATTCACAAGGACAAAATGGTCAAATGCACACTGAAAAGTCAAATTTTGACTTTTTTATTTATCAAAATCAAGTTTCAAAAATCATATTTCACCAAGGCACGAAGTTGGTTCATTAAGAAATCAAAAGTAAAAAATTACTTTGAAAAGTCAAATTTTTAAGCACTTAGAAAATTTTCTAAGTGTTAAAAAAATATGATAATTACATGATTTTGGGCCAGATTTTTATCATGATGCAAGATGATTCAATCAGAACTTCTGATATGAAAGTTATAGATCCCAATGAGATCTAAAACATTGTTGAACAGAAGTTCTCCTAGAAATGTTGGGATTTCAAGTTATAAATCCTTGAAGACATGTTCATGAAGCTAATTCTGGGTATTTTTTAGTCAGAATTTAGACAGAACTTCTGGCCAGCTTTCACACAAGTAAATCAGAATTTGCAAAAGTGATTCAGAAAGGGATGGCAGAACATGTTACAAGCTTTCTAGAGAATTCCTTCAGATCATGCTGGAGCAGGGAGAATCGAAGGTCAGAAGTTATACTCTTCGATCATAACATGACCATTCGAATCTCACTCTTCAACATACAGAAGTTCTACTCTTCGATCAAAACATGACCCTTCGAATCTCACTATTTAACATACATAATCTCTACTATTTGATCAGAACATAACCCTTCAAATCCAATTCTTCAATGTGTGGAAGCTGTGTTCTTCAATCAGAATATGACCTTCAAAACCTCATCCAAGCTTGCCTCAATTTTCCAAGTTTCGACTGAAGTCTTGGACTGTTGATTGCTTGCTGTACACAAACTTCGACTGGGCATACTTTCCCTTTAAAATAACCTCATTCAATCCAAAGGGGAAGGGCTTCTTGTTAGTTCTCCTTCGATTGCACCATTGCCTTTGCATGCTGGCTTGACTCACAAATGCAATAGCTACCCACATGCAAGCTGGATCCTTATTTTAATTGAGCATTTATTCTCCTTGGAGCAAGCTTATTTCCTACTTCTACTAGGCAAAATTTCCCTCTGGGCGTGCCTTCAGCGCACAAAAGCAAGAACTTCTCCAAACTGGCCTTCGATTCACAAAAACTCCCACTGGGCAAAAGACCCCTCAACGTGTCACCAGTGCACATATCCCTTTTTATTTTGTTTTCAGCACAAGGCCAAAACTCCTTCAAAGTTGCCTTCGAACACAAGGCACTGGCCACCTTTGTGTCAGCTTCGCCTAGGAAGTGACCTCCTTTATGCCGACTGTGATACAGTGGGAGAACTGACTTGAAGGTTTTGCGTTTGATCGCAAATGTTGCAGTTAGCAAGAGTCGCCACCGACTTTTATTTTATCCAACAAGGAAAGGTGAAAAAGCACAGGAAAGACCTTTGAGATTGTTTCTTGAGTTCGGGGGGTAGATTATGAAAAAGGAAGGTATTAGCACCCTTTTCATCCATGGTTTTCCATGGGCTTTTAGTTACTTGCTAGATCACTTGCTTTTGTTTGAAATTGTGCTTTGTGTGGTTTTTGAAAGTATTTTATAAAGAGGCCATTGTTTAGGCAATCTTTGTAATGATTCTCGTTCGTAAGAATGTATACAAAGATGTTTATCTTTTTGAAAATGTTTTCAATGTTTGTAAGATGTTTGGAAATGTGTGTATTTGTTTTGAAAATAGCAAGGATATTTGTTTTGAAATGGAGCAAGTAACTAGAAATAATCTACCTACTCAAATGTCTTTCTTGTTCATTTTTTCTTTCCCTTTGATATTGTTGTCTTACCATTGATTTGGTAAGCAACCTTATCTTTGGATGTAAACGGGACAGGCGTGGGTCATCGTACAACCATGATTAGCAATGTTGCAAAGTATCTTAGCATTTTTGAGGGACTAAGATCATTTTGTAAGGCAACTTTGGATAGCGTCATCGAGGGACTATGATCTTATATTTGTTTGTTTTGCTAAGATACTTCACATGCGTAATATGGCCATTTTTGTGTAAGGCAACCAAGTGGAGTAACTCTAGGGGGTGCTTGTGTGCAAGTGTGTTATTTTCATGCTTGATTTTATCTTGGATTAGGGTTTTCTATTTGATTGTTTCTATCTTGCCATACAAACCCTAATTACTAACATGTTATGTAAAAAGCGATAAATTACGTAATTTAAAGATCACTACGCTATTACAACATTTTGTGGAAGGG